GGGGGGGGGGGGGGGGGGGGGGAGAGAGAGAGAAGAAAAACGGGACGACGATGCAGGCGGAAAGAGACGTGGCACGGGCGAGGATATGCAAGGCGAGGCGCTGTGCATCGTGTTCGTGACACGTACGGCCGATGAGAAACGAGCCACCGAAAGGGAACGGATTCGCGCTGTATCAATAGAGCGCGACAAAGATGACAGGATTGTCAAAGACGCGCACGAGAGGCGAGAGAGAAATGGATAGGGAGATAGAGGGACAGCTACGCGTATCTGGTATCGTCTATTACATGAACGATGCGTGAATATGCGTGAGAGAGGAGAGGAGAGGAGAGGAGAGGAGAGGAGAGGAGAGGAGAAACCAGGCTCCGATGTAGGCAACGTCGAGCGAAGGAGTGAAATTGCTGCAATTTTGCAATGGCGACGCCGACGATGTTGACGCGCGGCGTCGCCGACGCCCGATCGAAAATACCTGATCCGTAGTGTGATCTCTTGGTCGCGCCGTTCTCCGCGTCGCAGTCGAGCGGCCGCTTTCTGGAGTCCGCAATCTCCGGGGAGGGACACGTCTCCATTCCTGAATCAGCGGCCATCTTGGTTCGCTCGTTGCACGCACGTAACCCCCCCCCAGCCCAGACCCACACGCGCACACACACTAACACCTGTACGCGCGCGCGCGCGCGCGCGAGTTTACACGCACGGGGCCACGGAGAGATTACGTTACGGAATAAACGGCGCGCACCAGCCACCAGCCACCAGCCACCAACGGTACGGTACACACAATCGAGGCGGGATGTGATGTACAGTGTACACTCTGTACACCGTGTACACCACACACGGGACGCGACGCGACGCGCACCCTCTCTCTTCTTGCCTCCTCCTGATTAGAGAAGGGGAACTCGGCAACTCGCTAGAAAGGCGAGGAAAGAGAATTAGAGAAAGAGGAAAAATAGTACGAAGGAGCGCGCGCGAACGGGACGAACGATTAGTGGTGGAGCGGTGTGTGGAGCGATGCGCTGCGGCTGGAACTGGAGCTGGAGCTGGAGGCGGCAGAGCAGACGATGTTCGCTTTATGAGGGCAAGAGTCGTGTCCGAGAATTGCCGAGAATGAGGTGCCAGGCGCGAGCAGATCAGATAGGCACTTTCAGACGTTACACACTTTCAGACGGACGAGCGAACGAGCGAACGAACGAACGGACGAACGAATGAATGAATGAATGAATGAATGTACGTTATATACGTGCAGTGATGACGACGGAACCAAGGAGGAAAAGCAGACAATAGTAAGCGGCAGGCGCGCACACACAAGTGCAGGAGAAATCCGCACTAGGAATACTAGGATACGTGAGCGCGCACGAACAAATAACACACCCGCGCTCGCGTCTCACTGCGTCGCACTGCGTCTCACTGACGACTGGCTGACTGGCCTCCCTTGCCTTGCCAACCAGCTGGTTGATACTCGCGCTACCCTCGCACAGCACACGTACACTGATATACACCTCTTCTCTAGGTTCGCTGCGTCTCCGTCTAACTTGCGTTTGACTACGTTTCACCTACGACTATATACTCCGCCTCCGTCTCTCTTCCTTTCCCTTCCTTCCCTTTCGTGCGCGCGCACTTGCTCGCTCGCTCGCTCTCTCTCTCTCGCTCGCTCTCTCTCTCTCTCTCTCTCTCTCTCTCTCTCTCTCTCTCTCTCTCTCTTTCGTCGTCAGTCCTCAGCCAAGCAGCTCCAGCGTGGCTCCGTTCAACACAGTTCAGCAGTGGCGGAGTAAACTGGAGTAAACCAAATATATATGTATAGTCGCAGAGAACCCTGTTCTTGTCCGTGTTTTTCTTTGCCAACCCGTGAAAAATTCGACCGATTGACTGATCGAATCGGATCGGACGAATGTTTCCGGAACCCTTCGAAGTTCCACAGAACTGGCGGAACTGACGGAACTGCGGCGAATGGTGCGCGCACTACAACTATACGTTACGTAAGCTGTTAGCTGTGCTGCTGCCGCCACGGGGGATATAACATAACGAATATAATAACCCGCTGCTGATGCTGCGTCGTCCTGCGCACTGCGCAGTGCGCGTCGCCGCGCGCACTCCGGACTCGGAGCAGTCGGAGGTCGGAACGTTTCCCGCCTTCGACCGTTTTTTCATTATTACGGACGAGATTGGCGGAATTATGTCCAAGATTTTCACCCTTCACGCTCATACGTATGTGCACTTGAGAATGAAATCGTGAAACGATCCTAATCCTAAGCAAAAACGCGACATTTATTGATATTAGTAAGTCTATTTTTATTTCAAGACCGTCTTAAGTACTGTCTTAAGACGCTGATGCAGCCTTCTGATTGATTCGTGACTTCTTAAGACCGTACTTAGGACCGGTCTTGAATATAAGATCTGACTATGAATACCGGCCTGTGATCGGTATTCGTATATATGTATAGTTGATTCTTATATATTTAAAACTTAAAACTTTTATTTAAGACCTACACTCTAAATCTGTAGCAGTCAAATTTCACTGCGTTGAATTGTAATTTTACTACTGTAGTGAATTTTGCTGCAAAGTGGGAATGGAGAAAATAGACTTAAAATCATTGGAGTGAATTTTATCACTGTAAAGAATTGAAAAATTTACTCCAATTATTGAATGAAACTTCTTAATAGACCGAATAATGTCACTCCAAGGGGAGAGTAAATGATTTTACTCTATTTATGAAAGATCAATTCATTTTTTCTAAAAAAAAGGCGATATACAGGAATATATTAAATTTATAGCGTATAATTTTTTGCAAAATTTATAATAATGAATTTAATCAAACACTTGCTACTGTATGAATCGTCTTAAATATCAAGTTCAAATATATAACTATATATATTGCTTTTTTTTTTCAGAAAAAAAAAAGAATCTTTAAGGAGAGTGAAATCGTGTGTGTGTGTGTGTGTAAAAATGTATTTATTTATTTATTTGAGGAAGTTTAATTATAACGAAAAAATCTCACTATCAAAACATGTGTTGACAGGGTTGGCAACGTTACCTCATAAAAATAACTCGTTACCGTTCTTTTTCCTAAAAAGTAATTCGTTATCGTTACTCAATCTGATTGGCATATTCCGTTAGATCGAAAAATATAGACCAAACAGATACAAGAGCTCAATGAGCGGTCGTGCTTCTGGATGCACCTAATGGCTGCGTCCAGCAGAGAAAGTAGCTTTGCAACTGTTGTAAAATTCTTGAATATGATTGGTTTATACATTTAGATCCAATGAGGAACTAAGGGCAAGACCAATCATATTGAAGAATTTTACAACAGTTGCAAAGCTGCTTTCTCTGCTGAACGCAACCATTATTGATTTGCAAAAGTAACTCGTTACCGACAGTCGAATGTGAAAAGAATAATCAACTGTGATTGGTCAATTTCTTGTTCTTACTTCGTGTATTGTAAACAACGCATCATACCGTGTATTGGACAACTGTATCACTGTGTGTCTGTTCGTACTGTTCGTAGAGACAACTTGAAGGTTTCTACCGTACCGTATTCTCTATTCCGTAGCGATCGGAAGGATTCAGGTTTCAGTGTTGGAGAGTGATAATGCCCACCGTAGTGAACTCTTCACTCACCTATGAAATTCTCATGTATCTGAACTCGTTTTACTTCGGCATGTTCGCTGTATGTGAGCTGAGCATGGGGCTATTCAAGGCTGCGAATTTGCCATCACCGGGTGCAAGCCAAACTCTGACAGAGTTCGCGCTTCTGTTTTTCTTGATAGTGACGGAGACGGGCAGAATTTATCTGGGAAGAAAGGGAAATCTAACTGAGCGTGGACTGCCAATTCTTATCGGAATCATCCTGACCATTCCCAGCTCGCTAGCGACGCTCTACTTCCTGCTCTGGCAGTACTACGTACTCAGGTTGGAGGTGATTCTCTGCAGCATACAGCTGGTTCTGCTAGCGTCCGAGGTGGTCATTGCGATTATGTGCCTTATAGCCATCCACCGACCACCAGCTCCAGTAAAATGACTAAATGTTATCCTTTCCGATATTCTAGTCGCACGACGATTATATTTTGCACTTGTCACACTTAATAATCCATTCAGAGTATCATCGATTCATCAAAGTCAAAATCAAAGTTTTTGACAACACTGTTTTTGATACACAATAAGACTTTTCTTGCTGTGTACGATTTCTATTATATCTCTACGTGTAAAAAATAATCCTGCACAGGGAAGAATCAGATTAATTTCCTTAAACCTTGATATAAATCCATTCTGTACAATAGCTTTACCACAAATTTTAAATGAAAAATAAAGACTAGTCATCAAAAAGACTTTTGTGCTACTTGTACAATTTGTGTAATTAAAACTATAAATACTGCCAAACAAGTATTCTCATTTAAGTAATTATCTATAAATTTATGTATTTACCGAAAGAATATTGAAGACCATTGTATTGTTGTTAAAAGCGAGCGATTTATAGAAAACAGGTAATAGAAATAATTCGTTTCCATCAAATTAACTCAATTAGGTAGAACGTTTTAGTTTTGTTACATATTTAAACAATAGTGTTGAGATGAATAGAATTAACTATTTTTTTGCAGCTACTGCTTTAGTACATATTATTTTCAATCAGAAAAAAAAGATGAAGGAAGGCGACATAAATTGTGAACAGCCTTCAAAGGAGAAACATGTATGGTGGATTATATATTTCATGAATCCCTTGAAGAAAGCGATCTGTTATCAAAATATATTGTCGGACATATTCTTGTACATTGTATACAAAACTTTATTCGCATTAGTTGATTTAAAATGGCTACTTACTTGAGTCTTTAGGAGTCCTAAAGTGAAGCCCGAACTCCGAGATCGCTGTCTCATTGATAAACACATCTTTATATACTAATACATCAACGTCGTACGCACACATATACATAAATTTTCGTAGAACGATAGCAACATAGCGTTTTAGACAGACGTCCAAGTCTAATTTTAAGAACTCGACATTGTTTCTTTGTGTAATCTATTAATTTGTAGCATCCAATTTTGTAAATACAGATTTTTACAGATCGCAAAGCTTTCGTAGCAAATGCTGTCACACAACTTGATAGCTCTAGATAACATTTTGGGCTAAAAAAAATGATAAAAAAGATTACAATTTCAAAAATCTTTATCGTTCTCAACATAATTTCCAAAATAAAAATAGCCAATGGAAACATAAATGTTTTATCTTCCTTTGATGAACATGTAGCTCAAGTCCTACAGAAAAGAAAGAATTATATGTACTTACTTCTATATTGGATATAATCATCTATGGTAAGAAACTTGCATGTGTTTGTTGTGTATATGCATTTATATCAAAATAAATATTTTTCAAATAAATAATACAATACGTGTATACGCCTTTATACATATGGCATAACACAAATTTTCTTTTCATAAAGATATAATGCTGTTTTTGTCAGATCACATGTATCTTCAAGTACATATTTTTCCAAATATATTACACGCGACGTACATTGGCTACAAAACTTATAAATACAAATATTTCTTGAAGTTCATGATTAAAATTTCTATCACAAACTATCGGATATACATTCGCGATATATAATTTTATGCTGTATATGGAAAGAGAGATTATGACGCGATGTGTTAATTATAAATAAAGGATTAAAATTTAGCATCCATAATTAGAGTTAATATCTAATTACTACATCAGAATTCTATCCTAATCCATAGCAATTATAATAACCAGTTGATAGAATTCTGCTTCTATGACAATTAAGATTGTAATTCTGTCTATCTAATACAATTTTTAATGTTTTATACTGTTCGCTGCGGCTCTGCGTCTTCTGATTACACGTAATCGATTGTTGCAATAAATTCGTAAAAATACTGAACCAAATACCAACAATATCCCAAACACTCCAATAACAGTAATCTCGTGATGATAAATCAAACATGACAATAATATCGCCAAGCCCTGTAACAGACATTATTAAATGCAGGATTATAGTCTGAATTTAAGGGCAAGAGCACGATAAACACAGTGTCGGTCGACTTTGTCATTCAAGGAAAGTCCTTTCGGCAACGTATGTAATTGCATTCATAGATATGGTATAATATTGTTTTACGACACAACAGTCGGCTGACACTTTGTCTATCGTGTGCTCTCTTGCCCTAACTCTTTTTTTTTTTACAAATTGATATTATATGAAATAATTATATACTTGACGAATGGTCATCATAATGACAAATGTAATGGATCCAAATTTCGAAATGGTGTAAAAAATGTACAATTGACCGCTTGCAGAACAAATGGAAATCAGCAAACAGTCGATTATAAACCTGGGATACTGTACAATGAAATTGGTTAATGCTACTTTCATGTAAGCAATATTATAAGGAACTAACATACGTATTGTAAATTAATTACCGTCGTCATAAAAGAAAAAATTAGCGGAAAGCTCGATTGTTGAAACAGAGACATCGCAGTTAGCAAACAGGAGAACATATTGACTGCACACATCATTTGTACGCTAGTTACTCCATAATCTATAAACAGTGCATTTTGCCAGGTACTTGTGAAACTATCTAATAATAAGTAACCTCCCAATAAAATAACACCGGAGAGTGTTGTCGCTCCATCTGAAAATATTTATAAAATTAATATAATGTTGGTTGCAATTAAAATGCATTGCATATTTAACAAAGTATTACTGTTTTTATTATGATCAGAACTGTCCAGCATAAAGAGCGTCATTCCGATAGAAATAAGAATCGCAGTAACATATTCATAATATTCGTATGACGTATGCGAAACTATTTTTCCCATAACCATAACCGGAATAATTTTAGAGGCTTTAGCTAAAACCTAAACGAATAATTGAACGAATATGAAACATTTATATAAATAGCTTTTGATATACATAAAAGTTATGTTAGTGAGCAAAGAAATCAGCAAATCATCAGAAGATATACAATCGTAATTTTTCACCTGTGATGGAAAACTGACGTATTTCAGAGCTTCATAT